CGGCGGGGCGCCCGGGAGGGGGCCGGGTGGGGCCGCCCCTTCCAGGGCCCCTTTGGCCACCCCCTTCCCGGTGCCCCCCCAGCCCCGGACCTTTAGACACTCCGGCCCCCGAGGGGAGGTGGGATTGGCGCCCTGGGCTGGCCCTGCATGTCCAGTTAACGGACCCAGAGGGGCCACCTGAGCCCTGTTCCGAGGTCGCCTCCGCCTAAAGTTGGCCACATTGAGGCTGGAGGGCACATTTGGCCTGGGAGGCGAGACGGGCTCGGGGCCTCCCGGAGGAGGCCTGAGTGTAAGGTGGGGACCCAGCCGTCCAGGCCACCTGTGGCATCTCTCTGGCCATCTTTGGCTCCCCTCCTTGACTGCAAGTTTTTGACGAGAGGCACCGCCGGTCAGGCCGGAGGTCCTGGGTGTGGAGGGGGGGGGTCCCTTCCTCGTTTGGCCCTGGTGGTGGCTGTAATTGGCTTTGCCTCTCAGATTTTAGAAACGCTTGTTAGGGATTTTACTGCCTAGTGTCAGTCTTCACCTGGAAACTTGAACTGAGTAACAGATCATGAAAAGGCAGATTCTGTTTTGGAGTAAGAAGTGGTGAAATGAACATTGAAACTGAACCTTGGTTGTTGAGGAGCTCTGACTTGAGCTTAGCATGATTTCTTGTAGTTTTCAGCACACACTTTTTATTCCCGCGCGGAGGTGAAGAGGAGAAGCGTAACAAAATCATCGTTCAAGAAGTTCGGGAGCTGAAGTTGAGCCGAATGTTCTCAAATGCTGTTCCTCTATCCCATCTCTCTCGTTACCCTTCAAAGGAAACTCTCCTATACAGTATTTAGAAATATTGTAAGAATAATGGGAGATATTCCTAATTGTAAATGTGTAAGTTGTCCATTTAGGAGGTGTTCCTAGCTAGTTGTAAATTTAAATAAAATATCATTAGGGATAATTCCAACATTTGGACTTTTATCATTTCTGAAACTTCTTCCCAGCTTTTTATGGAATCTAGCCTTAGGGTTTTATAACCTTTTTAGATGCTTTTCCTATTACACATTCCTCTTTTCTCAATTTGAAGCTGAAAGAGTGTCATACTTGATATTCTCAGTTACTTTTATCCTAAGTTTTGGAAAGCTATTAAAGAGCAATTATAAGAAAGTCATGAATGACATTATAAATTTATGGGACAATCCTTATTAAATTATCCATGAAGGTATCGGTTTAGGTTTCCTTCCTGAAAAGAGAAAAAGCACCTGTGCCGAGGTTCCATCGTGCCACAGCCTGGCTGCCTGTTGCTGGCCTGATGAAAGTTATGACAAACATCACACCTTCACAGTCTCTCCAGACGTATTAGTTGTTGTCATAAACTTCACGCTCCAAGCCAGTTATTGCACTTTGAAACTACTTAACAGATAGTAAATGTCAGTGAGGATGGTGTGCACCCAACAGTGGCTTTTAAGGCACCTGTATAAATATTTGACTTTTATAGTTGTGGGGTAATCTTTCTGCTTTCTGATCCTTGGAGTTTCTGGTTATTGAAATTGCAATGAATTCCTGAAGTATTTAGGCATTTTAGGTTCTCTTTGGCTTCAGTTTACATGTTTTATTATATTGTCTCATTTGTGTTTATCAGCAAGGATTGCAAGAATATGTAATGCCTGGGTAAAGCAAATAGAAAGTGAAATAAAACTATATGGCTTGGCTTATCCATATCACTACTTCTTAAACAAGTTAAGCATGTCTTTTTATTTTAAACTGTTAGTGGATTAACAGTTATTATGAACTCTGTTTTCAGGAAACTGGGTAACCAATTCATTTGATGTGGACAAACAGTGTTGACTAAGATGATTTGTTATTATTACGTTTTTCCTGAAGCTGATGGATCTTTAAGTATTTATAAATTTGACTGGTTATAAGACTCAGTAGTAGAGTTTTAGACTCAGTATTAGAGTTTTAAAAGATATCCTGTGAGATCAGAGTCAACATTGACATATTTAGTTTAAATTTGAGTGTGATTTTTTAGAGCAAGGAAGCGTCTCTATGTCTTCCTAAATAGTATAAGAGATGGTGGGAGAGGATATTTGGAGTAACTATTAACTCCTGTCAGTTTTGTTACACACTCACCAAACATATGGAAAGAGAGATGTTCCACAGGCCAATTGGAGTGTGCCCATTCTTCTACAGGATCAAATTACAATCCTGAAAGAAAAGGGACTTCAGACTGCAGGTCTGCAGTGCTTTTGAACTTTTAAAGCCAGTGAATTAAAATGGTCATGATGATTTTACCCAGTCATATTTATGTTAAGAAGAAGAATTTTGTTTTAGATCGTCTATCAGAATTTGTGTGGGGTTGCTGATTGTGTAGGTAATTTTATGCGGATTTAGTGGGAGAAGAGTAGGGGATTTCACAAGAAGATAGTTTCATTCAATCAGTAGTGATTTTAGAATACTGAAGTGTTGTTTTAAAATACTCTTCAGCTTTTGGCGGTAGATGACATAATGCCGACTTTGCTGGGACGTGATCAGAGCTTTTATTGCTCCGCCACTTATTACCTGAGTAAGCTTAGATGAGTCTCTGAATCCCTCTCAACCTCCATTTTTCAACTCTATAATGAAGATAATACTGCCTACCTCACGGGGATGTTTGGGGGCCCGTAATTAGGGCCAAATAGTAGTGGTTGTAGCATTGTCATGCCACTGTAGGAAACAGTTGACTGTTTTACGCCTGAAAACAGTCGCTATATAGCGTATACTAGTATATACGAAATACTCGGTGTTTACTGTGTGACAGCCCCTTTGCTAAGCTCTTGAACTGTGATCTCATTTATTCTCCCATTAGTTCTGTGAGGCAGGTGCTGTTATTATCTTCCAGTTACAGATGAGGAAACTGAGTCACAGAGATTGCCGTTGCTGTTGAATGTGGAGCCAGGATTTGAAGCTACGTAGTCCAATTCCAGAGCCGGTATCCTTGATCACTCCTCTAGACTGCCGGACACTGGACGTGTTCAGGGGTCTTTGGGTGGAGTAGAACCTCTGCCCAGTGTTGATTTTTCAGGCTGACTGACCAGTCTTAATTGATCTTCAGAGGTTCCTGTCAACTTTGTATGATTCTGTGATCCCTGAGTTAGCCACACGTAGGGTCTGGTTCATTAATGCCTTGGGAGAGTGGGTTGGGGACCCATTGCAACACAGTGTAGATCCAGGGAGAGCTTGGACGTTCAGTGTACTCTTGGGCACATTACAAGTTCTGTTTGGGGGAAGAGTTAAGGGCTCTGTCTCATCCCTGCATAGATTATAATTTTACTATGCCAGTCTTGACTCTGCTGTCTTCCTCTCCCCTCACTAATCCTGTGAATTCTGTCCGTCTGTGATTCCTTGCCTTCCCTCCATCCTCGCCCTATGGGCCTATCCCCCAGGAGTGTGATTCTGCAGGTCTACTCCTTCATTCACCTCTATTTTGCTCACTATGGACACCCTTTGACCACACCAGTTGGTGTTTATGGTGGGCCATAGATCATGGGCAAATGGTCGGGTGCTTTAAAAAAAAAAACAAACCATATTCAACACAGGAGAAAAAGATGGGATGGATTTGTTGCCTCTTGGAGGAGTAGCGGGCTAAGGTGAGCAGGCCTCAGAGACAGGGTGAGTGGTTTTATGAACTCACAGTAGAATTCTGCTCATTTTCTGTCCTTGGATTGGATGTCATCCAGAGATACAATAACTTTGTCTAGTTGAACTTGGAAGATGTACCACCACACAAAGCGACTTGATGTTAAAACTGGCTGATAGACCATCATCTTTGGTTTATGGCTGGGGTCAGATGTTGAGCAACCTGTACTTTCTAATTAAGGAAAGAAATCCTGGGGGTGGGGAGGGTGACAGTGGGAGGAAGAGGATGTCAGCTGGGCATCATTGATGATAAAGTTAACTTTTGGCTCTCTACGCCTAGTTCCTGGCACGTGTTTAGGATCTGAGGAACTGTATTGTCATTATTTCAAAGTCAATGCAAGGAATTTTGCTAAACCTACTCTAGAGTGTTAAACTCCTTAAGAGACCTGATTGCTAATTACTGCTTTCTGTATCCTCTGTATATGGTGGATGTTAAATGAATGTTGGTTGGGTCAATTAATGAAGGAAGTTGTTAAATTAATGAAAGAATACTAGTTGAGCTACTCTCTTATTTCCAGTTTCTTATTGTTGGGCTTTCAAAAAATATACCCATAACCACCAACAACCAGGGACAATTGATTTTCCAGTTAGATTAAAAATAATGAGAGAACTAAGCTGCTACATTTTGACTAATAGTATAAATATGTGAATTACTTATAAGAGCAAAGA